CCCCCAAAAACCCCCAAATTCAACCCAAACCCCCCCAAATTGCCCCGAATTCCCCCCAAATGTCCCAAATTGCCCCAAATTACCCCAAATTCCCCCCAAAATGCCCCAAATTCAACCCAAAATGCCCAAAATGCCCCAAATTGCCCAAATTTCCCCAAATTCCCCCGTTCTCACCGTGGGCCCGGGGCGCCCGGTGAAGCCCATGGGGCCGGGGGGGCCCCGCAGCGACATCTGGGGGGAAATGGGGGGGTCACCCCAAAAACACCCAAAAGGGACCCCAAATACCCCAAAAACCACCCGGGAAACCCCAAAAAAATCCCCCAAAAGGGACCCCCAAAAAAAAACCCGAAAAGGACCCAAAATCCCCCAAAAGGGACTCCGAAAACCATGCTGAGATCCCCAAAAAATCGACCCAAAGAGACCCCAAAAGGGACCCAAAATACCCCAAAAATCCCCCCCAAAAACCACCCGGGGAACCCCAAAAAATCCCCCAAAAGGGACCCCAAAATTCCCCAAAAAATCCCCCAAAAGGGACCCAAAATCCCCCCAAAAACCACGTGGGGAACCCCTAAAAAATCGACCCAAAGGGATCCGAAAATCCCAAAAAAATCCCCCAAAAGGGACCCCAAAACCACCCGGGGAACCCCAAAAAATCCCCCAAAAGGGACCCCAAAAATCCCCCAAAAGGGACCCTAAAAATCCCCCAAAAAGGACCCAAAAACCCCCCACAAAACCCCCCAAACAGCAAAAATCCCCCAAAAGGGACCCAAAATCCCCCCAAAAATCCCCCCAAAGGGACCCCAAAATACCCCAAAAAACTCCAAAAGAACCTGAAAATCCAAAAATCCAAAATTGGGGGAATAAAGCACCAAAATTGGGGGGGGGAAGCCCAAAAATTGGGGAAAAAACCCCAAAAATTGGGGGGAAAATCCCCAAAATTGGGAAAAAAATCCCAGGAAAAGCCCAAAATTGCCCAAATTTGGGCAGAATTCCCTCAAAATTGAGGGAAAAATTGCCCCAAAATTGGGGGGGAAAGACCCAAAATTGGGGAAAAAACCCAAAACATTGGGGGAAGAACCCCCAAAATTGGGGGGAAAATCCCCAAAATTGGGAAAAAATCCCAGTAAAAGCCCAAAATTGGGAAAAATTCCCCAAAAATTGGGGAAATTTTCCCCAAAATTGGGGGAATAAAGCACCAAAATTGGGGGGGAAAAGCCCAAAAATTGGGGAAAGTTCCCCCAAAATTGGGAAAATCCCAGGAAAAGCCCAAAATTGCCCAAATTTCCCCAAATTTGGGCAGAAATCCCTCAAAATTGAGGGGAAAATTCCCCCAAAATTGGGAAAAAATCCCCCAAAATTGGGGGGAAAAGCCCCAAAAATTGGGGAAAAATCCCAGGAAAAGCCCAAAATTGCCCAAATTTCCCCAAATTTGGGCAGAAATCCCTCAAAATTGAGGGGAAAATTCCCCCAAAATTGGGAAAAAATCCCCCAAAATTGGGGGGAAAAGCCCCAAAAATTGGGGAAAAATCCCAGGAAAAGCCCAAAATTGCCCAAATTTCCCCAAATTTGGGCAGAAATCCCTCAAAATTGAGGGGGAAATATCCAATAATTGGGGGAAATTGCCCCAAAACTGGGGGGGGAAAGCCCAAAAATTGGGGAAAAAAATCCAAAAATTGGGAAAAATTCCACCAAAATTGGGAAAATCCCAGGAAAAGCCCAAAATTGCCCAAATTTCCCCAAATTTGGGCAGAAATCCCTCAAAATTGAGGGGAAAATTCCCCCAAAATTGGGAAAAAATCCCCCAAAATTGGGGGGAAAAGCCCCAAAAATTGGGGAAAAATCCCAGGAAAAGCCCAAAATTGCCCAAATTTCCCCAAATTTGGGCAGAATTCCCTCAGAATTGAGGGGAAAATCTCCAATAATTGGGGGAATTGCCCCAAAACTGGGGGGGAAAGCCCAAAAATTGGGGAAAAAAATCCAAAAATTGGGAAAAATTCCACCAAAATTGGGAAAATCCCAGGAAAAGCCCAAAATTGCCCAAAATTGCCCAAAATTGGGCAGAATTCCCTTGAAATTGTGGGGAAAATTCTGCCAAAACTGGGGGGGAAAAAAGCCCAAAAATTGGGAAAAGCCCAAAATTGCCCAAAATTGCCCAAAATTGGGCAGAATTCCCTTGAAATTGTGGGGAAAATTCTGCCAAAACTGGGGGGGGAAAAGCCCAAAAATTGGGAGGAAAAACCCAAAAATTGGGGGGAAAATCCCCAAAATTGGGAAAAGCCCAAAATTGCCCAAATTTGGGCAGAATTCCCTCAAAATTGATGGGAAAATCCCCCAAAAATTGGGGAAAATTGCCCCAAAACTGGGGAAAAAAGCCCAAAAATTGGGGTAAAAAAGCCCAAAAATTGGGGAAAATTCCCCCAAAAATTGGGGGAAAAATCCCCAAAATTGGGAAAATCCCAGGAAAAGCCCAAAATCGCCCCAAATTGCCCAAATTTGGGGGAATTTGTCCCAAACTCACGCGGGCCTGGTGCAGCAGCGCCTGAGCCTGGAGCTCGCCCGGGCCCTTGGGGCTGAAACGGAACTGGGGGAAAAAACCGGGATTTTGGGGAAAATGGGGATTTGGGGATTTTGGGGGAAAACAGCGGGATTTTGGGAAAAATGGGGATTTGGGAGGAAACAACGGGATTTTGGGAAAAATGGGGATTTGGGGGAAAATGGGAAATTGGGGAAAATGGGGATTTTGGGGGAAAAAAACCAGGATTTTGGGAAAAATGGGAAATTGGGGGGAAACGGGGATTTGGGGGGAAAAATGGGAAATTGGGGAAAATGGGGATTTTGGGGGAAAACAGCGGGATTTTGGGAAAAATGGGGATTTGGGGATTTTGGGGGAAAACAGCGGGATTTTGGGAAAAATGGGGATTTGGGAGGAAACAACGGGATTTTGGGAAAAATGGGGATTTGGGGGAAAATGGGAAATTGGGGAAAATGGGGATTTTGGGGGAAAAAAACCAGGATTTTGGGAAAAATGGGAAATTGGGGGGAAACGGGGATTTGGGGGGAAAAATGGGAAATTTGGGAAAAATGGGAAATTTCGGGAAATGGGGATTTTGGGTAAAAAATGTGAATTTTGGGAAAAAATTGGGAATTTGGGGGGGGAAATGGGGATTTTGGGGGAAATGGGAAATTTTGGGGGGAGAAATGGGGATTTTGGGAAAAAAATGTGAATTTTGGGGTGAAAATTGAGGAATTTTGGGAAAACTGGGGAGAAAAATTAAGGATTTTTGGGGGAAAATGGGGATTTTTTTGGGGAAAAAAGGGGATTTAGGGAAAAAATTGGGATTTTGGGGTGAAAAATGGGGATTTTGGGAAAAAATTGGGATTTTGGGGGAAAATGGGAAATTTTGGGGGTAGAAATGGGGATTTCGGGGGAAAAAAGGGAATTTTGGGAAAAAATTGGGGATTTTGGGGGGATTTTGGGAATTTGGGGGGAAATTGGTGAGAAAAATCGGGGATTTTGAGGGAAAAATGGGAATTTTGGGAGGGGAAATGGGAAATTTTGGGAAAAATTGGGATTTTGGAGGGAGAAATGGGGATTTTTTTCGGAAAATTGGGGAGAAAAATTGGGGATTTGGGGGAAAAAATTGGGAATTTTGGGGGGAGAAATGGGGATTTTTTTCGGAAAATTGGGGAGAAAAATTGGGATTTTGGGGGGAAAAAAATGGAATTTTGGGAAAAAAATGGGGAAAAAAATGGGGATTTTGGGGGGATTTTGGGGATTTTTTTCGGAAAATTGGGGAGAAAAATTGGGGATTTGGGGGAAAAAATTGGGAATTTTGGGGGGAGAAATGGGGATTTTGGGGAAAATTGGGGAGAAAAATTGAGGATTTGGGGGGAAAAAAATGGAATTTTGGGAAAAAAATGGGGAAAAAAGGGTTGAAAATTGGGAATTTTGGGGGGAAAATGGAGATTTTTGCAGGGGAAAATGAGGAATTTTGGGGAAAACGGGGGAGAAAATTTGAGGATTTTGGGGGGAATTTTGAGGATTTTTTGGGGAAGATTTTTGGGAATTTTTGAGAGGATTTTCAGGATTTTTGGGGAGGATTTTGGGGGTTTTTCACGGAGGATTTTGGGGATTTTTTGGGGATTTTTGGGACAAGATTTTGGGGGAAAATGGGAAATTTTGGGGGTAGAAATGGGGATTTCGGGGGAAAAAAGGGAATTTTGGGAAAAAATTGGGGATTTTGGGGGGATTTTGGGAATTTGGGGGGAAATTGGTGAGAAAAATCGGGGATTTTGAGGGAAAAATGGGAATTTTGGGAGGGGAAATGGGAAATTTTGGGAAAAATTGGGATTTTGGAGGGAGAAATGGGGATTTTTTTCGGAAAATTGGGGAGAAAAATTGGGGATTTGGGGGAAAAAATTGGGAATTTTGGGGGGAGAAATGGGGATTTTGGGGAAAATTGGGGAGAAAAATTGAGGATTTGGGGGGAATGGAATTTTGGGGGGGAAATGGGAAATTTTGGGGGTAGAAATGGGATTTTGGGGAAAAATGGGAATTTTGGGGGGAAAATGGAGATTTTTGCAGGGGAAAATGAGGAATTTTGGGGAAAACTGGGGAGAAAATTTGAGGATTTTGGGGGGAAAAAAATGGAATTTTGGGAAAAAAATGGGGAAAAAAATGGGGATTTTGGGGGGATTTTGGGGATTTTTTTATTTTGGGGGAGAATTTTGTGGCCGATTTTGGGGGAAGATTTTGGGAATTTTTTGGGGAGGATTTTGGGAATTTTTGAGGATTTTTGGGAGGATTTTGGGGGGAATTTTGAGGATTTTTTGGGGAAGATTTTTGGGAATTTTTGAGAGGATTTTCAGGATTTTTGGGGAGGATTTTGGGGGTTTTTCACGGAGGATTTTCAGGATTTTTGGAGAGGATTTTGGGGAGGATTTGGGGATTTTTGGAGAGGATTTCGGGGAGAATTTGGGGGATTTTAGGGAGGATTTTGGGAATTTTAGGGGATTTTAGGGAGGATTTTTGGGGGGATTTTTGAGGAGGATTTGGGGGATTTTTGGGGAGATTTTTGGGAATTTTTGGGAGGATTTTCAGGATTTTTGGGGAGGATTTTGGGGAGGATTTGGGGATTTTTGGGGAGGATTTGGGGGAAGATTTGGGGGATTTTTGGGGAGGATTTGGGGGAGGATTTGGGGATTTTTGGGGAGGATTTTGGGGAGGATTTTGGGGAGGATTTTCAGGATTTTTGGGGAGGATTTTGGGGAGGATTTGGGGATTTTTGGGGGTCCTCACCGGGAGCATCAGGGCGGTGCCGGGGGGTCCCGGGGTCCCGTCGGAGCCGGGGAGGCCGGAGCGGCCGGGGGGGCCCTTTTTGGGGAGAAAAAACCCAAAATCCGCCAAATTCCCCCAAAATTCCCTCCAAATTCCCAAAACTCCTAAAAATGCCCCCAAATTTTCCACAGATTTCCTGAATTCCCCCCAAATTCTCACCCAACCCCCCCAAAATTCCCCCAAATTCGGCAAAAACGTCGAATTTCCCAAAAGCACCCAAAATCCTCCCAAATTGTCCCCAAATCCCCCCAATTTCCCCCAAAATTCCCTCAAACCCCTCCAAAATTTTTCTAAATTCAAAAGCATTTCCCAGAATTTCCCAAAATCCCCTAAAATTTCCCCAACCCCCCCCAGATTCCACCCA